AAGAGGTTGATTTATTTCTTAATAGATCTTTTGACAAAGTGCTTTATGTATGAGCACAAATGAAAAGATTTACCTATTGTAAACATGAAGTGTGACCACTTCAATCAAGTTCGAGCTTAGCTTGAGATGTGTTTATGAAGACACACGACTTTATAAATGTGTCAAGTTTTCAAGGAAAAGTTGTAACTTAGAAACTGTGTGCGGTGTACCTTCAATTTTCAAAGTGATTACTCGGTTCAAAGTAGGGGTGAAAATATGTCAGGTCCCTTCATAGGGGCCTATGGATCGGCCTAGCCTAGGAAAATTGTAGGCTTAGGCTTGAGCCTAACAGAAAGCCTACATACAGTCTCAGGCCTGTGATTTATATAGCAGACCCAAGACTAATTCTCTAAAGCACGGCACGGCCTAGCCTACTTTCACCACGGCCTAGTTCAAAGCTTGTCTACCGTTGTAATTGGATATATTGTAAAGTGTACAAACTAAGTGAAAGTTCAATCTATAAGACACTTTCATTTCTGTATGAGTTTTAGATTTTTATCTTGTGGCATTCAACGAGGTTTACTATATAAATGGAGGATGAATGAATGATGTTTATATAGTAAATGCTTAAATATATTATTTCAGACATGTCTACCAGTAGGATAAGTAATATTTTGGTGTTGTGGAGTTGAAAATTTTATTTATGTTTGGTAAGAAGTTTATGAGTTGATTGATCAAGAATGTTGAATAATTTTTCCCAATTCCGAGAAGTTAGACTGAAAGTTCATTTTTCAGGAAGTCCAAATTAACTTTTTGGATGTGGTCGAAAAGAACCATTTTGGAAGGAACCGTTTGGAAGGAAACTTTTTAGAAGGAACCAATCGGAAGAAGCCGTTTGGAAGGTAAACTCATTTTCTGGAAGGATTTTGGGAAAATTTATTCCTGATGATAATGAAACATCGTAATATGTTCCCAAAAGTTGTAAATATAATATTTATTATATACTGAATTCTTGATCAATTACACAATAATTTAATATTAAATTTAAATTATTGTAATCATTATGAGAATAATGATTGTGGAAGTTACAAAAAAAAAAAAAAAAAAAAAAACTTTCAATAACTTTCTTCATTAATTTGATTTTTAAGAGAATTGAAGAAGAGATGTCTGATGATGGAATAGAATAAAAATTCATATGTTGCCAACCGAGAGACGAACAATGAGGGTACACTTTACTCTTGACTAAGTAGTTGTAGTACTTATGAGAAAGTGGTTTTCTAAGACAAAAAATTAAAGTTGTTACCTTGAACTTTCTAGAAAAGCAACATAAAAAGTTTGACATTCTTCTTGTACCTTAAGAGTTCTAATTTGTTTACCCTAGATGCTTGCTAAGCGAAATTAGAAACTTTTAAAATAGTGTGCCGTTACACACACCTGAAGATTGTGATTATACATTTCTTTTTTTTTTTTTTTGAAAGGTGATTATACATTTCTGTTGTTTTCTTGTTCTCAAATTCTTTTACATGACTTGGTTTTTTTTTTTTTTTTTTTTTTTAAACAAAGGAAGGCCGAAAAAAAAGAGACGAAGGTAGTCACTCTTTGTCTCATACCCTCTTCTCTTTCGTTGAATGAGGACAACCATATAGACATCCAACTTAAAAAAAAAAAAGAATTATGCTCAAATAGGTCACTAAACTAGACAACAATAATTGAACCATCCAACTCAAAAAATTACAATTAGGTCCCTAAACAGTTTAACTTTATGCAATTAAATCAAATTGACTTGTTCATCTGGTTATCGCTGACGTGACGATTATTATAAATTATTATTTTTAATAATTAAAAAAAAAAACAACTTCATCTCCGATAGAGACGAAAACCTTCTCTTTGTCACCAGCCTGGGAACAAAGAGAACCTTTGAAGATTTACTCAGAACCATAGGGACATGAACCAACAAGAGCTATGCATTGAGAGTTTACAGTGAAGAGAGTTCAAGTTTTAGAAAAATTAACCAACCCTGCAATAGAACAAAGCAAGGTTTATATACAAAGGAAAGAGGAAATAAAACTGCCATAACTAACTTCAATGGTAAAATGACACAAATAGCCTTCTAAGAAGATTACTTCATAACCCCCGTAAGCTGGAGTGTGAATGTCTTGAAGGCCCAGCTTAGCATGAAACTTGTCAAATAATGGCCTAGCTAATGCCTTGGTAAATCCATCTGTTATCTGCTTGTGAGACGGGATTCCCAGCAGTTTGATCACTCCATCATGCACTTTCTTCCTCACTACATGACAATCTAATTCAATGTGCTTAGTTATATCATGAAACACATGATTTTCTCCAATCGCAATGGCAGAGGTATTATCACAGAATAGAGGAACAAGACTGTCATTGTTTACTTGTAAATCTGTTAGCAAATACTTCAACCATTGAATCTCACAAACTGTTGAGGCCATGGCCCTGTATTCTGCTTCAGAAGAGGACCTAGAGATGCTGGCTTGCTTTTTTGTTTTCCAAGAAATAAGGGAGTCTCCAAGATAGATGCAATAACCTATTATAGACTTTCTAGATTCAGCACATGTTGCCCAATCTGAATCTGAGAAACCCTGCAACCTGAACTGGGAGTTAGAAGCATAGAATAACCCCTTCCCAGGAGAGCCCTTAAGATACCTTAGTACCTTATGAGCTGCTACTAAATGTGTGTCTCTTGGCTTGTCTACAAACTGAATTAATTGCTGAACAACATAGGAGATGTCAGGTCTAGTGTTGGTTAGGTATAGAAGCTTTCCCACCAACCTTCTGAATATTTCAGGACTGTCAATCAAATTGCCTTCATTGCTTGTTAACTTCTGCCCTATAATACATGGTGTTGCAACTGGTTTAGCATCTATGAATCCATTTTCCTTGAGAATCTCTAAGGTATATTTCCTTTGGCAAAGATTGGGATCACAGTGATTTCTGAATGCTTCAATTCCCATGAAGTAATTCAGTTGGCCTAGATCTTTTATCTTGAAAGAGGAATCCAGAAACTGTTTCAGCTCTCTGATCTTCACAGCATCTGTTCCTGCCACAATAATGTCATCCACATATACAAGAAGTGCAATAAAAAAGTGGCTTGTGGACTTTGTAAATAGAGAAGGATCAGCTGATGATTGTCTATAGCCATTGTCTTGTAAAGCCTTAGTCAACTTTGCATTCCACTGCCTACTTGCTTGCTTCAAACCATATAATGATCTTAAAAACTTGCATACCTGATTTGGCTTGTCATTTTTGGACCCTAGGGGAAGGACCATGTATACTTCTTCATATAGGTCCCCATGTAAAAAAGGCATTATTGATATCAAGTTGTTGGATGTCCCATCCTTTTGCAATTGCCACTGCCAAGAAAGTTTTAATGGTGGTCATTTTAGCCACGGGGGATAAGGTCTCAATATGATCTAATCCGAATTGTTGAGTGTATCCTTTGGCAACCAACCTAGCCTTATACCTCTCTATTGAACCATCAGCCTTGTGCACTTTGTATACCCGCTTGCATCCAATTGGTGATTTTCCATGGGGTAAATCAGTCAGGGTCCAAGTATTGTTCTGAATTAGGGCCTTTATTTCAGATTGCATGGCTTCCCTCCACTGCTCATATTGAACTGCCTCGTTGTAAGATTGAGGCTCATTTCTAGATGTGATTGATGACACACAGATTCTATGTTTAGGAGGCAACTGATCATATGAAATGAAGTTATTCATGGGGTGTGGAGAAGTCCTCATACCTGAATTATTTCCCACCATGAACTGACAGTAATAGTCATTCAGCTTTGGAGGAATGGCTATTTGTCTTGTTGACCTTCTAGGCTGTATTTGATCATCTTGATTTTGTGGGGGGTCATGGCTGGTAGCATCAATGTTGGTTGTGTCACCATTCACCTCATCATTACCAATAGATGTGTGGATATGTGTTCCACTTATCACCTCATTATGATGTCCAGTATGACAACCATGAGTGGTTTCATTTTATGGGCTTCTGTTGAAATTATCAGATGTAGGGTTCCAGAAGAAATGATAGAACTTCTCAGTATTGGCTCTTCGGAATCAATGGAAATGGGAATCATAGGCAGTGAAGGGTTAAGACCATCATTGTACTCATGTATGCTGATCAGATTCTGCTATTTAAAAGGATAAACTTGCTCATAAAACTTTGCATCCCTTGATATGAACACTGTCTTGTCATTGAGATCATAGAGAATATATCCCTTCACATTTGCAGGGAAACCCAAGAAAACACTTTTCCTTGCCCTTGCCTACATTTTATTTCTGCCTTGTGATATGGTTGCACCAAAACACAAACAACCAGAAGACTTAAGCTGCTCATAATCCACAGACCTTTTGGTAAGAATTTCAAAAGGGATTCTCCCATTGACTACATCAGTAGGTAGTCTACTTATAATGTAGGAGGCATGCAATACACAGTGACCCCTAAATTTAGTAGGTAGACCAGACTGAAACCTTAGAGCACTTCTACATTCAAGAGGTGTTGGTGCTTCCTTTCTGCTATCCCATTTTGCTGGGGTGTGTGCACACAGGATTTCTGATGCACAATCCCTTTTTCTTCAAAAAAGGCATTCATTAAGAACTCACCCCCATTGTCTGTCCTTATAGTTTGGATTTTCTCTGAGAAATGGGTGTGCACATAATTATAGAAACTTTGAAATGTGGGTTTAACATCTAACTTGTTTTTCAGTAAATGTAACCAAGTGAATCTGCTGTGCTCATCAACTATGGTTAAGAAATAGTGTTTGTTCTCCTTTTAAAGAGGCCACAGCAAAAGGACCCCAAACATCCATATGTATCAAATCAAAGCATTTATCAGCCCTAGATGTGCTAATTGGGAACATAGATCTCCTATGTTTAGCAAGATGACAAGCATCACACACAAAGTCAGAACACTTTTGATGAGAAATAGACTTTATTCCACTCAAATGAGGTATCTTATTTATAGGATAATGTCCTAGTCTGTTATGCCAAAGTTATAATGTCAAAGCATTACACTGATTCTCAACTAATTTAGCAGCAGATTGACTTCTATTCTTGGCAGGTGGTTCACTGATTAAGTACATCCCACTCTCTTCCTTAGCAAAACCATCCATTCTCCCAAGAGGTCCCTGAACAGCACAAGAGTTAGCCTGCAAAATAAGCTTACAATTTGAATGTTTTGTCAGCTTACTAGCAGAAATGACATTGAAGGCAAAGGATGGGATGTATAGTACATTTTGCAGTACTATGTCATTATTTAGTCTGACTTGCCCTATATGGGTAACAATCACTGTCTCATCATTTGTTAGTTTAACTGATATCCCTTGGACCCTGTGACAAGTTTCAAAGAATTCTGGGGAGCAAATGATGAGGTCTATGGCTCCTGAATCCAAAATCCATGCATCTCCTGAGCTTAGCACAGTATTAACAAGAAGTTTAGAAGTGGTTATACCTTCATCGTGAACTTCCACAGAGTTTCTGAGATCTGGTTTGGTTCCAGAGGAACTGATAGTCACAGCTGCATTACTTGCAGCTTGGTTTCCTTTATTCTGATTCTATAGTAAGGAAAGTAATTTTTGAAACTGGGTTCAGCAAGACATCAAATAATCCTACATCACCAATTTGGCTAACTGATGCATTAGAGGATTGTTGCATGTCTTGAGGCTGTCTGTTTTTGGATTTGTAACCTGGAATCCTCCCTAATGGATATCCATGCTTCTTATAGCATTTTTCTATGGTATGGCCTATCATCCCACAGAATGTGCACTTTGGCACATTTTTTCCTCCATTATTTGTGAACTTCTTCTTGTTGTTGAAAGCTGAGGCTACCACAGTGGCCTGTTCTTTTGCAGTTTGAACTACATTAGACTGAATGAATTCATTACATTTTTGGTTTATTGATCCTCTTATCTTTCTTTCAACTTTCAAAGTCATATTAAGGACTTTTTCTATGTCTGGAATAGGATCCATAACAAGGACTCCAATTTTAATTTGATAGTCTCAAATTCTTCATTCAGGCCATCTAGGAACCGGATGATTTGATATTCTTCTCTTTGCTTCTGCATTCTATTCATGGGTGCATGAACATCTAGGATTACATTCGCACAACAACAATGGTCTTAAGGCATTCATCTGCTGCCATAGAGCATTGCTCTTGGTGCAGTACTCATTAACTGTCAAGCTACCTTGCACATTTCTAAAAATCTCATTCTGTATTTCAGATATTCTATGAGGATCGGATTGAGAATACCTCTTTTGGAGAGCATTCTAGATTTCAGACGCATCATCAAAGTACATTACACTGTCTGCAATGCTAGGGTTTATGGACTTCAAAATCCAAGAGCAGACGATTCTATTGCACCTTCTCCATGATGCAAGCTTCAGATCATTGATCTCTGGCCTTGGAATGGTTCCCTCTGCAAATGCAAACTTATTTTTGACTTCCAACGCAATCCTCATGGATCTGCTCCATGAGGCGTAATTCAGCTCAGTCAGTGATGGAGAAACAAGGTTGAGATTAGGATTTTCGGTGACATGGAGGAATAAGGGATTGTCGAACCCCTCACTTCTCTGATTCTTGTTCGTCAAAGTCTGATTCGAAGATGATCCAGCTTGATTTCCGTCGCCAGTTTCCATTACGACTGCTGCGTAACTCCGGTAGCGACACTCTGATACCATGATGATTTACTCAGAACCATAGGGACATGAACCAACCAGAGCTATGCATTGAGAGTTTACAGTGAAAAGAGTTCAAGTTTCAGAAAGAAGAAAAATTAACCAACCCTGCAATAAAACAAAACATGGTTTATATACAAAGGAAAGAGGAAATAAAACTACCATAACTAACTTTAATGGTAGAAGGACACAAATAGCATTCATAAAACATTGTAGTATCTGTTCAAATTAAATATACTTTCTCAACCTAATGAAGCACAAAGAGTCAACAACACCTCGAGTCAACAACACCTCCACTGAGGCTCGATCTCATGACCTTCCACATTGGAGAGGTCACTACATGCCATCTGAGTACAAGGTGCTTGACAAATTTAATTTTATTTTAAAAATATTAAAATAATATTTTTTGATAGAATGATCGACACATCGATCAGCGGTAAGCAGATGAACATGTTAAATTTGATTTAATTGTATAATTTTAAAATGTTCAAAGACCAAATTGTAGTTCTTTTGAGTTTGATTACCAGACCAATTGCATTTTGCTTGTAATTCAATGACTTATTTGAGCATTATTTCAAAGGAAAATAAAAGACTGAGATAGCCATGGATGATGGTAGCTAAGCATGGATACCTTCGTCTCAAGGAGGTTGGCTTCCTTCATCTCAAATCTGAGACGAAAGACAACTACCTCCCTTCCAAATTTGAGATGAAAAAGAAAGTGGCCAAGCAGAAGCAATTTTCGTTCGACATGTCATAATTTTGAAGTTTTTAATTTTGAAAAAATATATTTTAAAAGTCTTTTAGTTTTTTTTTTTTTTTTTTTTTTTTTTTTTGAAACATTTAAAAGTCTTAGTTAGTTAAACTAACACCACATCAAATAACATCAATTCCATTTCTTTAAAACAATTATTAACTTACTAAAAGAGTAAATTTCACATTTTTGTCGACTTTTAGGCATCTGAATGGAGGTTTTAATTTTTTTTAAAAGGAATAAGGTTCAAATTGGCCACAAAACGTAACCTAAAAATGAAATTAGGCTACTGAACGAAAAAAAAAAAATGCAATTAGGCCACTGAACACTCCAAATGTATGCAATTTCACCTGATAGCAGGTTACCATCAATTTTATCAGGTTACTTGCTTACATGGCAGCTAAGTTGGCATTTTTAATAATTTTTAATAAATTTTAATAAGAATTTTTAATTTTTTTTTTTAAAAAACAACGGGGTGGCCACCATCGTTTTATTTATTTTTTTGAATTTTTTTTAGTTTAATGTTTTTTCAATTTTTTTTAAATTTATTATTAGAAATTATTATTAAAATTATTTAAAAATTATTAAAAATGCCAACTCAGCTGCCACGTAAGCAGGTAACCTGCTAAAATTGATGGTAACCTACTATCCGGTGAAATTTCATACATTTGGAGTATTCAGTGACCTAATTACACATTTTTGGAGTGATGAGTGACCTAGTTGCACTTTTTTTCGTTCAGTGACCTAATTGCATTTTCAGGTTACGTTCAGTGGCCAATTTGAACCTTATTCCTTTTTAAAAATAGGGAAAATTGTAAAAAATGCCCCTCTATAATATGTCAATTATCAATGTTACCCCTGAATTATGAGTGGTGTAAATGTTGCCCCTCAATTATCAAAATAGTGCACATATAGCCCCTCCCGTAACGGACCTGTGGTTCTCTACCGCTATCCATCGCTGGTACTTCGAATCGAGGGAGGAAAACACAACTAAATTACATATTTACTCCGACTTAAAGGTGTCGTACACTAACGGGGAACCACATGTCCGTTACGGGAGGGGCTATATGTGCACCGTTTTGATAATTGATGGGCAACATTTACACCACTCATAATTCAGGAGTGACATTGATAATTAGCATATTATAGAGGGACATTTTTTACAATTTTCCCTTAAAAATACTTAATTAATTTAATTGCACTATTTTTAACTATTTTGAGAGCTTATTTGAAACTTATCCATATATATTAAAAATTAATATATGTTAACCTCAAATGTGTTTAAAACTTTGTACTGCAATTAATTAGTAGTGATTATACTTTAAAAAATCTTTTCTTAAAAAAGGCAACAATTACTTTATACACATGAAATGAAAGAAATAGTTGAATGCTTAATGAGTATAAAGTCCAAAAAGAAAATAATCAATTAGAGTGAGTACTTAATATATAATTTATTATTATTAATGAGTAAGAGAATTAGGAATTGTTATATTTGATAGGTCCTTTAGAATATTATATATTAGTCTCATTGTATAGTAAAGACCTCGCCCCAACAGAGTATTTGAGAGGGTCAAATGTCGGTGCGCACAAGGGACGATATGCTCACTACACTTTGAGTATAATCCTCAGTCCCCACATTATGGTTGCCAAAGTTTGAATATTAGTTTTTTCTCTTAAATACTGCCTATTGAACCAGTAAGCTAAGCTGTGCGAGCATGCATCATATATATATAATCCTATATATAGGATTGCATCATGACTACATGCATTAAATAACAATGAACTCATTATAATCACAAAAATTGTGACATAATGATTAAACAAAATTTCTTTATCCTCAAACCTATCTCATCTTTTATTCTCTTCTTTAGCCAATATAATTATTTTACATAATATAGATATCTTGCAATACAATAAGCTAGCACACAAAAAGAAGACCAATCCACACATACACAATAATAATAAGGCAATAAATCTCAAAAGTAGGTCATGAAGACTCCTTTTTTGTCTTGAGCTGAGTGAGATGGGTTAGAAGCAAAGGCAACACCAACACATACACACAAAAGTGAACCACCCACGTTCACATTAGCATAGACAAACAAACCCCACTTTTCTTCTCGTCCATTGGAATATTATCAATGAAAACTCCAAGGCCCTTTGGATTTCGTGTTAGTGGAGTTTTTTTTCCCATTTCCCACAAACATGCCCTTAATTAATCACTATTATCATCACTCTGATCTCATGGGGCTGCCTACTACACACTACTCTACCGCCCCCTCAAGACTTATTATCAAAACATGAAAACTTACATATGCACACTGATATTTGACATTGTCTGCTGAGTCATTGAGTCACCATGATCTACATGTTCTTAAATACTTTGTGGGCCCAAAATGTGAGGAGCCTTGGAGTTGGAAATTCAACCTTTTGAGAGAAGAAAACACGAAAACTTAAATAATTTATAATAAAAAAGAACCATATTTATAATTTACCATTATAAGTAGATCAAATGAGTTAATGCATTTTTTTTTATAAATAGAATATGATGATAATTATTTTTTAATATTGTCTCTATTTTTTTCTATTTGTATAGTATTAGACAGAGTGTTTTCTCATAATTGTAAATTTTTTTAATAAATTACATGGTTAAAATTAAATTAAATTATTTATAGTTAAACATTTAGTCAAAGTTATATGGACTAAACATATTCTTGAAAATGAAATTGACGAAGTAATAAATGTTGTCTTAATTTGAATATTTAAAAGTAACAAATTAGGTCTCAAATATTTACACGGAAAATAGTACTTACTTCACAAATTAAAAACATATATATTTAAATAATTCATACAATTAAGTAATCAGTCAAAGATTACTTTGAGTTAGTCTCGATAAAACAAATAAAAAGATGTAAAATGGAAGTAGGGGCATTAATGAAATGATCGAAAAAAAAAAACACCTTTTACCATTTTTAGGTATTAAATCCTTCATTATCCAATGTGATTTAATTAAATTCTTGATGATTTCAATTAGTTAGTTTACAAGTAGTTTTTTTGTAAGATTGTTTTCTTACCTGAAACGTATAATATTTTTGGAATAAGGATCAAATAGTCCACTCATTTACACACCAAATTACAATTAAGTTATAGAACTCAAAAAATGCAATTGAGTGCTTGAACAACACAAACTCATTCAATTTAATTCAAAATGACTTGTTTATCTTCTCCCAAAAGGTTGAATCCTCAATCTTAAGGGTCTCCCACACTCCGACCCGACAGAGCATGTGAGATGATGTAAATCACAGTGACTCAATGGTAATGACTTGTTTACCTGAAAGTACGTTGACGTGGTAGTTATCGATTTTAAAAATAATTTTTCAAATAATTTTAAATAAAATAATTAATTAAAATTAATTTTTTTTAAAAAAAAACAAGAACTGCCCGTCGGAGACAAATCGTCTCCGTCTAGCTTCGTCTCCATGGCCAGGGAGACGAAGGGACCTTCATCTCCGGCCATGGTGACGAAGCCGGCCGGAGACGATTCGTCTCTGGTCGTCAGTTCTTGTTTTGTTTTTTATTTTTATTTTTATTTTAATTAATTATTTTATTTAAAATTATTTGAACAAATTATTTTTAAAATCGCTAACCGCCACATAAGCGTACTTTCAGGTAAACAGGCCATTTTGAGTTAAATTGCATGAGTTTGTGTTGTTCAAGGACTCAGTTGTATTTTTTTGAGTTCGATTGCCTAATTGCTGTTTGGTGTGCAGTTGAGTGGCATATTTGACCCTAATTCCAATATTTTTTAATGAAATGTAATACTTTCATATGTATCCAAAAATAAATTAATTAATTGGAGTAATCCTAGTCAAGTTGGTCAAATTCGACTCGCCATGAGTGGCCTATCGACCTTCTTAGTTTGAACTGACCAGTAATATGCAAACTAAAGTTGGTTTACCTTATTGTAATCCTTTGCCGGTTAGGGTTACAGGGTGAGATTACCCAATTCACACTTTTAGGTAATGGCTGTAGGTTCCCTCGTCACAAAAACAAAAAAAAAATTATCAAAATATTACATGTCTTGTATGAAGTGATCTTATACAAATTTTTGTGATTTACAAGCTAACTTTTTTTTTTTTAAAGATATTTACAAGCAATTTTTAAATGTATATATTTGAACAATAAATGAATGTGAAGATGTATGACATTTGTC